TTGATTTGTTGACTAATTGTCGAATGGGTGACCACATCTTGACTTGGTGACAATTCTTATCTTTTTGTTTGAATAAAATATCATCGTTAATATCAGAATTTGAACAGACTTAATCCATAAAAGTTCTAGGAAATTGTCTTAGCTTTCCAAAAAAAAAAAAGATCATTTGGACTTTTAGAACTCAAGATATGGGATGAGCATTGAACAGTGTTTGAGCTGCAGGACAGATTCAAAATTTTTCGTTGTTGCTTAGATTTAGACTTCTAAACGGTAAAATTGAGTCTTGCATTCCTATAAATATTTTAGGAACATGTTTTAGCTTTCCATCCATATAGAGTAGACCCAAATCCAAGTTCTACAGTTCTGGATATGACCTAATAACTGAACAGTGTTCCAGTTTAGACCGAATTAGCATCTTTTTTATAAGCTTCACCCTCTCTTTATCTTCTTAATTTTAGTAGTTAAACTCATCAATCAATCATTTGATTTTTGTGATAGGCCTGCATTTAAGATGAATATTTACCATAAATCAAAGATATCTTATACTATCAGATTTGTTATTATAAAACATGCTTTAGTTAAATAGTTATTGATACTTCATGTCACGGGGTGTGAGCCGACGCGATGTTGTCTAGCAATGAGGGAGGCTTTTATCATGCCTTCTGTGTGAGATATGATGTGTTGAGAAGGTTTTATGAATTTAATCATAGAGTTATGATTAATGTTTAGGAGTCGCCACCTAGTATTATGGTCATTAGAAACATATGGTTTGTGAGAGTCTGAGTAAGAGATTGATTGTGTAAGGGGAAGACGCATCATTCTCAGTGCACCCTACCTAAGGTAAACTGCATTGTTGTTTGATTATTTTTTTCTAAGTCGGGTTTTTATTCGTTGGTCTTTTCTAAGGTTTAAGGCATATCTCTTTTCATGAGAGAGTTTCTACCTTATTGGGTAAAACCCTAACCGTTCTAAGGTCTGAATTTTAACATTGTATTTTTTAACATCTTGTATCTTTAATACCTGAGGGCGTACTTTATCATGTAATTTTACACCCCACAAATATTAAAGTTCACATCTGGATTCCAAAAAAAAAAGATTGGAAAAAGATTTTTGACATGTTGGCGAAATCCTAATGGATAATCATAAACTGGTTATAATATCCATTTTTAGATTTTTTTTAAACATGAAAAAGATGCAATTTTTTATGAAAAATATACTTGGAAAAATTTCAGGATTTGGTCGTATGCAACAAAATATTTTTTTTCTTTTTTGAAAATATTTTAATTTTTTTAAAAAAATATTTTGGAGAGAATAGAGTATTTTAATACTAGATTTATATTTTACAGTGTAAATATATAACCCAATATTATAAAAAAATGTTAGAAAAACATTTTTTGTAAATATATAACCCAATATTATAAAAAATTGTTAGAAAAACATTTTTGAAAATCATAATTTTTTTAAAGGATTTTTTTATTTTTTTATTTTTTGGTCCAGTAAAACTATGGGCGTGAATTATAATTCACGTTTACGCATGAATAGTTGAACAAGGAGACAAAGGCGAAACAAGGGAGGCAGACCACTTGGCATGGCGATGATGGCTGGCTAGCGGGGAGGATGACCTGTAGCTGGCGGTGGAAACGACAGTGGAGTTGGCTGGAGTTGGCTGGAGTGGCTGCAGCGGGAAGAGGAAGAAAAGGAAGAAATTTATAGAGAGGAGAGAGACATTTATGATGGCTTATTACAAACATAGTGGTGGCTAGCCGATGGTCTTGGCGACACATGGTGGTGCTGGTTTCTCAAGGCGAAGTTGGAGGAAGAGACGTTGACGATGGAGGAAGAAAGAAGAAGCAGAAGAAGAAAATCTGCAATGGGGAGAATGAGGAGAAGAAGGAGAGGAGAGAGATGTGGTGTCTATTCTACCACTGATAAAATGTCTGTTGGTGCAGGAGAAAGGTTTCTATGGTGGAGCTGATGGTGGGAAGACCGGTGGTGGTGGCCAAAGGCCATGGTGGAGAGAGAAAAAAGAGAGGACTGTACAGAAAAAAACTGGGGACAAGGATGGTTTTTTTCAATTTTTAGACCCGAGTTTCTCCTCCCTCAAGCTATAAAGTCCACCTTTATTTATAGGTGGTGGAAGAGGGCAATCTTGTCTACACTGGAAAAAAATTTCAGCCCTTGATTCAGTTGAGAAGGATCCCAACCATCGACTCAAAGTAGGTATTATGAGTTGCAAATTTGCAGACAAAAACTGACTGAGTTTAACCTCTTTAGGCTGTCACTAGAGATGATTTATTGTCATTTAGCTTGAATTGATCACATGGAGTTGTAGAGAAAGTGCAAAAGATCATTTTTATATAAGATTTGTTAAATTTGATGGATATTATGTACATTAAATACAACTGCAAAGTAGGTAACCTGACTAGCGTTTTCAAAGAAAAAAAAAAGAGAATTAACAGTGATGAGTTCTGTTTTTGGCCAAAATTCATTTCAGTCATTCCTCTTTCAATTGCTTTCAATTAAACCCTAATTGATCCTAAATTTTTTTATTTAATGCAATTAAGCCCCTAATTTCAATCAATTAACTTGGTAAAAATTAAATTTGGTCTCTTAAAATTCCAATCTTTCCAATTAAGCCAAAATTAGGCTCTCAAATTTAATTTTTCTGCAATTAAGCCCAAAATAAAATTAATTTGACCCATTTAAAGTATAATTAAGTCCTTGCACTTAATTAAATCCTTCAATTGGACCCGAATTAATTCTTAAACATAATTAAAATTTAATTTAGCCCTTGATTAAATCAAATTGGCTTATTGAAAATTTAGTTATGTCATTGGGCTTAATCTTTATGCAAATTCGTCCAATAATCATTCAATTTGACCTTGAATTTGCATTTTTCTCTATTTTTAGGCATAATGGGGTATAATTAGGCCTTGAATTTCCTCAAAAAATTACAGCTGGATTTTTTTCCTATTTTTCTAGCCCTCCTTGATCTGCTTTCTCCACATTGTCAGCCTTTATTTTATTTTTGATTTTTATTTTGAAAAAAAATTAATTTTTGGGGAATAACCCAGAATTGAGTTATGACACTTTAAGTGCAAAGTACTGATATAAAACCTTAATAAAAATGAGCTTTTAAATATTAATTAAGTAACAAACTTGGAAAAGAAGTAACCAAAGGGCAACAATCATTGTTTGAGCTTGAAATGTGTGAAACATTCATATATCCTAGTAGATGATATCCATGAAGCACATCTCTAACCTGTTCTTTCATGCCTATGAGACACATATCTTTTATGTTTTTGAAAGAGAAGTTGATGCGCCAAGAAATAGAAGAATGAAATATTATTCCAAGAACATAAGATATTAACAATAACTAAAGCATGTAGGGAAAGTACCATAGCTTTCCTTACAAAACACCGTGGATTGTTACAGTATCTCTCCCTACTTGGTTTTTTCCCCCTACTTGAACATATGGTTTTTTTTCCTTTTCCTTTTTTTTTGTTATGATTTTTTTTAAATTATTTTTGTCAATTTTTTTTTATTTTGTTTTTTATAAAGTTAGCATGATTTGCAGGTTTATCAACATAACTCAAGTTGCTCAATTGCCTTCGTTTTTGGATTTAGTGGGTTTTCTTTATTTTTATAGTCTATTTTTTCTCATATAGTTAAAAAAATAATTTTAGAGAAAAATTATGTTATTAAACTTTATAAAGTAACAAAAATTAAAGGATGTAGGAAACTATTGTTCACTTGACACTCATTATACTATGAATTACAATAATAATCCATAATATTGTGCTTTCTTTTTTCCTTTCCTTTTCCTTTTTTTTTTAATTTTTGTTATGATTTTTTTTTTAAATTTGTTGTTATCAATTTCATCTTTTAAAATTAAAATTATTAAAAATTTAACTTCATAATTTACTTATTTTTATTTTGCTTTTATATGAGGTTAATATGATTTATGAGTTTGTCAAGGTATTTCAAGTTGTTCTAATTTACGAATTTGGCTAATTATCTTTTTAATTGAACTTAATTTTTTTTTATATTTTATTTTTTCTTATATAATTAAAAAAATAATTTAAAATAATTATATTATTAAATTTTATAAAGTAATACAATTAAAAAACTATTTATACTCTTAATATTTTTTTTATATATTTTTTAAAAAATGAACCCGCAACAAACGAGTAATATTAGTTACATAACCAATCTTAGAATAGCCAACTTGAAACAGTTCTAAACACTTGAATTATTAATTATATATTGAGCCCAAATCTCCATACCACAAAACCCAACATGTTGACCAACCTTTCATCAGCTTTTGTTCATATCTTAAAGGTAAGACAGAAGAACCAAATCCAGACTTGTCTCCTTTTCCTGCTCAAGCCTCAGGGAGTGGCCAAGTTCACACATTACTACTGAATACTCTTCAAATCAATGCAAATTGCAATGTTTTCAAATTTGATTGGTATCTTTTTGCTAGTTTCACTTTATATCATCACCAAAACACTCAAAGAAAGGCTGATTCCGAATCCTCATCTTCCACCAGGTAGCCTAGGATGGCCTCTCATAGGTGAAACTTTAAACTACCTGGGAGCCTGTCTCGCAGGACGACCTGATTGGTTTCTAAGAGATAGGATGGAGAAACTTGATCCCCAGATTTTCAAGACTTCACTGTTTGGAGAAACAGTGGCTGTGTTTTGTGGACCAGCCGGGAACAAGTTCTTGTTCAGCAACGAGAACAAGCTAGTTAACCTTTGGTGGCCAAGATCGGTGAAGAAACTCTTAAAGTCAAGTCTGGTTAACGTAGCTGGTGATGAAGCAAAGAGGATAAGGAGTATACTCTTGACCTTCCTTAATCCAGATGCACTCAAGAAGTATATAGAGAGGATGGATTTGGTCACACAACACCATATCAGCAAACTCTGGGAAGGTATGTTACTAGATAATTTGTTGGAAAAGAAATCTGGAATCTGCTTTTTTCCGATGAATAACTTGCGGTGAAGAAACTCTTAAAGTCAAGTCTGGTTAACGTAGCTGGTGATGAAGCAAAGAGGATAAGGAGTATACTCTTGACCTTCCTTAATCCAGATGCACTCAAGAAGTATATAGAGAGGATGGATTTGGTCACACAACACCATATCAGCACACTCTGGGAAGGTATGCTACTAGATAATTTGTTGGAAAAGAAATCTTGAATCTGCTTTTTTCCGATGAATAACTTGATGCAGGTAACTTTTGTGTGAAATGAGAAGAAAAGGTGATAATAAGTTCAAGTTTTACAGATCAAAATTCTATAATATCTTTTGTTTGTTATTAACTGTTAAAAATTTTTAACCCTGAAAGAATTCCTGTCAGTTAAATGGCAATACCATCATAGATCTTGTCTTCAGTGATTTAATGTGTTCCTCGAAAAAATTAAGAATGTTGGATTGCATCATAATCCTAATTTTTTATGATCATGAAGGAAAAGAGGAGGTGAAAGTCCATCCAACTGTAAATTTATACACATTCGAGCTGTCTTGTCGCCTATTTATAAGCATCGATGACCCATTGCACATTTCAAAGCTTGCACATCAATTTGATGTTTTCCTCAAAGGAGTCATTCATTTCCCAATCAATATTCCCGGAACAAGATTTTACCGTGCTTCAAAAGCTGCTGTTGCAATCAAGGAAGAGCTTCGGTTGATTTCTAGACGAAGAAGGGCAGCATTGGACAAGAAGATGGCATCACCCACACAAGACCTTCTGTCACATTTGCTTGTGACTTCAGATGCAAGTGGAAAATTCCTGTCGGAGACAGAGATTGTTGACAACATACTGTTGTTGCTCTTTGCTAGTCATGACACTACAACATCAGTCATAACATGTGTCATGAAGTACCTTGCAGAATTGCCTGAAGTGTACCAAAAAGTTATGAGAGGTAGGGTACTACTCTTCTAGCTTATGGTTCTTTTCAAGTGAATGCTGCTACATTGATTGTAAGACCCTCCTAACTGATCCATCATATCCTGCATATCTTTAATCACAGCAGAAATGATCTCCTCCTTTCGTTAACCACATAATCTATGCCTCCCCCCATCTTTCTACTCTTACTAATAGCTAGCTTGAAGGAGGGTGTTGATCCTCTAAAACTATCGAAACACAGCATCTGCATTCAATTTCGGTTTAATGTTTTGTAATTCCTTGAAAATGTACTCAAACATGATACTGGCACCTTTTCCTTTTCTTTTCTAAATCCACAAGCTTTGGTTAACAGAGCAGATTGATATTGCAAAGTCTAAAGAACCAGGAGAGTTGCTGAAATGGGAGGATATACAGAAAATGCGATACTCATGGAACGTTGTCTCCGAAATTCTGAGGCTGATGCCACCTGTACGTGGTGCTTTCAGAGAGGCTATAGTTGATTTCACCTATGCAGGCTATACAATCCCAAAAGGATGGAAGGTACCCTCATCCATTCCCTCCCCTGTACTCACTCTTGTATCAATTTTACGCAGCAAGTTGTGTTAATTTTTGTCAGATTAATTTTTTGATTTGTGTTGTGTGTACTAGGTATATTGGAGTCCTATGACAACGAGTAAGGATCCGACTCTATTCCCAAATGCAGAACAGTTTGATGCTTCCAGGTATGATGGAGCTGGACCCGCCCCATATTCATATGTTCCATTCGGAGGGGGACCAAGGATTTGCCTTGGGAACGAATATGCTAGACCACAAATACTTGTGTTCCTGCATAACATTGTCAAGAGATTCAAATGGGATTTAATGATTCCTGATGAGAAAATTCCGTATGATCCCATGCCTGCACCATCCCAAGGTCTTCCGATACGTCTGCGGCCCTCAGCATAACATGTTCAGTTTCCAGCATCAGATTTCTCATATTCAATAAATCCAGAACTTAATTTCTTAAATAATAATTAAAGTCTTCAAATCCTGCTTCTTATGCATCTTCAAGGAAAATATGATCATCCAACATGGAATTTGGAAGTGAGGTAAAAATGATTGGGTTCTCGTGGTGTTAAAAAAAAAAAAAAGATTCCGACATAAATTTTTTTGTGATATTGGCTTGATGCTGATTTTGATAAAAAAAAAAAAATCATTTTATTGTTTACAAAAAACTCAAAATATAGATCAAAATTGAAAGGGAGGTGAAAATAAAGCTTTTCTTTTTACCCAACAATGTTCTGTCAATGCCTTTTTGGGAAGAAATGCCTTTTAGATTTTTTTCAAATTGTATTTTTTTTTCTTTTTAGCTTAAAAATTATATGTTTTGACTTAAATTTTTATTTTGTTCACATTTAAGTCTTTGGTTAGAGAAAACAGATAGAATTTAAAAAACAAAAAAGGAGAGAAAAAGCCATTGGTGGTCCTTGTTCTAGCAATAAAAAAACTCATTTTGGTGTTTTATTCAGCAAGATCAATTTTATTAAGTTATTTTTTCCTCTTTATCTTGCCAGAAAAAAGCAGCTCGGGGTTGAGAAAGAGAGCTTTTTTAGATTGGATTGTGTTTTCAGACCAAATTAGGGTATTTTGAGTTGAGAAATTGATTTATTGGCATTCCAAGAGCATAAACTAAATAGAAAAAAATAAAAATAAAAACACCTGTACGTGGGAAGATATTCAGAAGATGAGATACCCATGGAATGTGGTCTCTGAAGTTCTGAGGCTGATGCCACCTGTACGTGGGGCTTTCAGAGAGGCATTAACTGATTTCACCTACGCAGGTTATAGAATACCAAAAGGATGGAAGGTACGTAGGTGCCATCGCTCGCTCTCCTGCACTCTTACTCCTGGGCGAATTTTATGCAGCAATTAATGAACAAGTTGTGTAAACTGATGATTTTCTGTGCATGTACTAGCTGTACTGGACTCCTGCCTCAACAGCTAATTAAAGATCCAGCTTTATTCCCAAATGCACAAGGCTTTGTTGCTTCCAGGCAGGAAGGAGATGAATATGCTAGCTAGGCCACAAAGACTCGTGTTCCTGCATCACATTGTCAAGAGATTCAAATGTGATTTACTGATTCCTGATGAGAAAGTCCCGTATGATCCAAATGCCTGCCCCATGCATCCCAAGGTCTTCCAGTACTTCGACTTAAGCCGCACCAATCCAAAGCAAAACATGTTCAGCTAGGGCCTTTTATGTATTGCGTGCAGTACTGTTTCCATGCTCGCAGGCTTCAATTTACCAAGATTTTCAGATGTATATTAGTGTATGTTTCAGGCCTTAATTTTCTGTTTAATAGAAGTCACCAGCGAATCTTCAAGGAATTATTTGGTTCAGCTACAACTGCTTGCTTGCTTGCATTCATTTCGGGTAATTTGGGCTCAAATTGAACCCACTGGAATAGTTTACTTGAATGATGTCAAGTGAAAATGTTTATTTTATCAGGAAATTACTTAATATTAAATAATTACAAACAATTTTTTTATGGGAGAAAATAATTAAGAATAAATTATTTTGATTACAAGTACAGGATTTAGTTTGAAAACAAAATTATGTACAAGGACTGGTTTGATCAACTGTCAAAAGTAAAGGAACTGAGAATGCTTTACGTATGGAATAATTGAAAATCCTTGGCATGGGGCTAAAACATTATAAAAAAAAAAAAAACCCACACAAGCCAAGCCCTCAAAGAAAGATTGTTTCGAAACCCTCGTCTTCCACCAGGAAGTCCAGGATATTGGCCTCTCATCGGTGAAACTTCACGGTTTTTGCTCATAAATCTCACACCTGAGATCTTTGTAAATTATAGAATGAAGAAATATAATTCTCCTGTTTTCAAGACTTCACTGTTTGGGCTAATGATGAGGACAGGGTCCGTTAATTTACCCATTTTTGTGTTTGCGTGGTAAAAAATACAGTTTGGTAACACCAAACTATGTTTTATATTATAGAATTTATTAAAAAACTGATTTTTAATATAATTTTTATGAAGTAGTTTTTATATATTTTTTAATTAAGTTTTAGAAAACTTTGTTTGATTTTGTGTTTTAAAAATATTTTTTTTAAAATTTAAAATTAAATTTTTTTCTTTATTTTAAATTAATTTTTTTATATTTTTAGATTATTTTGATACCCTAATATTAAAAATAATTTTTAAAAAATAAAAAAATATTTTAATATATTTTAAATAAAAAATACTTTTAAAAAGTTACCCCAACTAAACATTTTATTAAGGTTTTTTACTACATATAAACTTTAATTATAATTTTTATTATACACATATCAAAATTTAACTAACTACAGATAACTATATATTTTTTTAAACTTATTTTCATATAATTTTAAAAATAACAGAATAATAACGAAGTGGCATATTCTTCGGTTCTGTCGTTTCACAAATGGAAAAGAAAATCTAAATAAAGACTCTGATTAAAGTCTGGTGGCGTCCTGTCAACTATCCAGTCTTTGAATGCAAAAGGCACAAAATATTTCTCCATGATGGTCGTGGCGGTCGCCGTGATGGGAAGCGATGGCGTTGGAGGAAGAGGAAGCAGATGGGCTGTTTGACGGGCGGCAGAGAATTTATCAGTGAAGGCGAAGTGCTTGACACATCGTGCCTAGCTAGGACCACTTGTATGCCCAGTCCATGTAAGAATGAATCTCCTATTGATTGTTACAGCAAAATCAAAGCTTGGAGCAGCACTCTATTGTGCTGTACTGAATTGGATGTTATCACAGGTGGAGGAGATGTTGCTACAAGTTCTAGAGAAACAAAACCACTGGAAAAAAACCTACACAGAAACTGATATAGAAAAGAAACAAAACCAATAAAAAAAGTCTCTACTTTCCTTTCATGTGTAATTCTTTTTCATTGGTTTGGTTTTCGAAGAACTTGCTCGATTCTAATCAAAAGACTAGTAAAGGACCCGGATAAATTAACATGTGTGTGTGGGTGTAGATCCCCAACAATAAAAGGATTGGAGAATCGCGTCTTAAATTCCTGTTAATGTTGATTTTGATCTGTGTTCTTGTAATAATTCTTACAATTTCATGTGAAATTGACACACGTGACAGCATGCAGTCTGAAGAGAATGAAAGAGATTTTAGGACAGTTATAATAGAGCACTTGAGGACCAAATTGAATGAAATTAAATACACATGACCTGTTTGAAATAAATCTAAGATTTGAGAGATCTAGGAAGAAAGATTATCCACAAAACAGTATTATATATGAATAACAAAATGCATGCAAGTGTCCAAAATTTGAGGGGATCGATCTCATGGGAGAATCAGAAAAACCACAGATACTATACTTCGGCGGAAACAGATTATCACTTCTGTGTCTGTCCGTATTACATTTGTTTTCTTATGATGGCCGGCTAGAAAGAAATGACATGGTATCTCAACTAATTAATCACGCTTAAATATTGGCTTATGACGCCAACGCAATTCTATTTTTATTATTATTATTAACGTGGTGGATGTTTAGAGCAGTCAAGAAATTGATATGATAATTAAAGACAGTGTTGAGTTCAAAATCAAGTAAGGACAGCAGTGCTAGGAATTAGAAAAGCAATTTGCAATGTTTTCAGTTCTTGATGATCATCCAATTCTTCTTGGAACTTCTGTCACCTTATTTTGTCATCAAAATATTCAAAGAAAGATTCTTTCCTAGTCCTCATCCAGTGCGACTTCTGCGGCGCCATTCTTCAGCATAACATGCTCAGCTAGGGCCTTTCATATATTTTGGTGTGTGTAGTACTGTTTACATGCTCGCAGGCCTCAATTTACCAAGATTTTCAGCAGACCGGTTGGTATATTTCAGGTGACCGGTTTGTCCTGAATGGTTTCCGTTAATCAGTTGAATTAAATTGATAAACCGGTTATCCTGATAATGAGGTTAGATAATTCTTTTTAGGCTCACTCAATTTAGGTAATGTTTGGAATTGATTGGCGGACCGATTCTAAGTATAGGATTATGATTCAATTTAGGTAATGTTTGGAATTGATTGGTAGACCGATTCTAGTATGCAATGACGTTATATTTTTAGAAGTATAGGATTATAAGTTATATCCTGGGTTAAGTATATTAAATAAATTGTATATTTTTTTTGAGTTATTTTTTAGTATTTTTTTTTGTATTCAAATAATTTTGATATTCTACTTATAGAATATCGGTAGGATTGCTTTGAATATTTGCTTTTGAGATACTTTTACTTTTAAATCAGGTGAGTGTATAATTTTTCATATGCTAGAATATTGGTATAAACACTTGAATTGTTAATATGAAATTCATCGTGTTTTTTTGTAATAAGTATTATTATTTATTCCTTGTTTATGATTAAGCATAACCATTCATTGAAACTGAATTTGTGATATGAACTATTATGTACTTATGAAATTATAACTCTTTATTTGATTGATTTTATGAGATGAGTCTTAAGATACGAGTCTGTCTGTCATGCTAGTTAAAATACTCATGCTAATATAATAGTGTTAGTCATTATGCACATCGTATCTGAAACTCTAGTTGGTCGAGAAAGTCACAAACCTATGTTTTAATCATCCCACAGTACATAGACTTATACTCATTGCATTTTGATTTTCTAATAAGCTTTACCTTATGATATTTTTATGATAGCTTATTTGAGAAACTTTACTATAAGAACCTAAAGTTATATTTGTATATATATATATATATATATATATATTTAAAAAATATATATATATATATATTTCATATTTTTGTATTAGCTCGTGAATATATATTAAATGTTATCTACTCACTGAGTTATTGAACTCATCCTCTTGTTATTTTTTTAGATTTATAGCTTGTTAATGGGTCGTTTTTGTTAGACCTTTAAAACCTGATCTTTTGCTGTAATTAATATTATTTAGTTATGTCTAGTTAGTGCTTCATAATTACAAAAATTTATACTAACTCTTGTATCAAGACAATCAAATTATATTATAAAGTTAATTTTGTTATAAGTGTTGCGTTGAAATCTAATTGAGTTATTTAAAAAATAAGTTATTGTATAAGTTTGGGTTCGTATTGATATGAAACCGTGGGTGGGGGAAATTACCTATGTGTTGCTTATGGATCTAGAAATCGATTCGTGACAATTAAAGTTAACATCTCACTTCCAATAAACTATTTAGTTCAGTTACAACTACTTGTGTTCATTTCTTGTAATTTTGGCTGAAGCCAACCCCATTACAAGCCGAGAAGATAACTGTTTTTTTTTTCATACGTAAGAGATTAAATAAGTTATTTCTCCTCTTTTTTGAATTAAAATACATTACAATTTAAGTCTAAGTTAACAATAGGGCCAAACACGTTCACTTTTTTTTATAAAAAAGAAAGAAAGAAGTATTGATCAAAATAGAAATAGTTTCTAAATAAATTGTTGAGTGCAAATAATTCTCGAACAAGATTGAAGATTTAATTAGATTTTTTGTTGACTAAAATCAAGTTTTCATATAACTAGGTGAAATAAATACATATGGCTATATAAGACGGAAGTTTGACTTAACATAAATTATAGAAAAACACAGTTTCACTTTAACTAAATTTAATTTTATTCGAATCCCAAATTTTTTACAGTGCATAACTACTAATTTCTACTTTAATAGTTTTTTGAAGGTCGGAAATTATTACTTTACCCTTGATAATATATATATGTGTATTTGTTTTCATATGATTCTTATATTAAACGACGCATGTGTTTGAAAATGCTTTTGATGTCACTTTTAACAAATTTCTTTGTTTTTTTTATTTTAAATTAAATTAAATTAAATATAATATAAGGTTCATATGAAAACAAATATATATATATATTTGTTTTCATATGAACCTTATATTATATTTAATTTAATTTAAAAGGTAAAAAACAATCAAATTTGTTAAAAGTCACATCAAAAGCATTTTCAAACACGTGTCGTTTAATAAGATACCCCATTGTGATTCCCTCAAATTTTAAACACGTCGTTTTTGTCTATATATATATGTGTATGTATGTATGTATGTATGTATGTACAAAAACAGACAAACACACGCGCTGTTGTTTTTGTTTTTGTCAAAAGAGAGAGAGAGAGAGCTGGTAAATTCATTACAACCAGTTTTTTTTACTAGGTTTTAACGAGTAAACCGACTGTTTACTTCTTTTTTTATTTTCTTTTGAACCCGATTCGATTCTAACCTCAAATTCATCGGCTCACAAATTTACCTGCCTAGCTAAGCTGGATTTTAAAAGCCTGGCTAGCAGCAAAATTTAGAAATCATGACATATTGGTCATTAAATTAAAGAAATGGGATTGGGTAGCTTCGAATACGAGCGTTAATTAATTAAGCTCCCAGTTAAGGATTAAGATCATCATTAAAACCATGGTTTTGAAACTAGCCCGGCCACAGGCTGACTCAAAATTTAGCTAATTTAGGATTAGAACTAGGTTGGGTTTTAAAAAAAATAATGCTAGTTAAAAACTTGAATAATATCATTAATTAACTCGATAACTCAGTCGATCTAACAAGACTTAATACAAACCCTGTTATAACTTGTTAATTAATTGAATATCATTTTAATTTATTAAAAAAATTAAAATTAACTTGATTTCATACCAATTGAAACCAGGTAAATAGCTTGTATGATAATAAATGTAGTATTAAGATGTCAAGTTGTTATTTTTTATAGTAAATGGGTTTATGGTGTCTTAATTTTAATTCAATGAAATTATTATTATTATTATTGGTTAAAAAAAAAAGGGATTAGTTGGCATGTATCGCCGGCACAAGTTAATTAATGTTGGAGCTGATTAATTAAGCTCCCACTTGCAATGACTGAAGTATACATTATAAACACAAGTTTCAGTAAAGGATTTTCAGTAAGGGATTAAGGATCATCGCAGAAACTAGCAAGCTAGCTCACATACTCATATACTACACTTGCTAGTAGATTAATTAATGCAATGTTTTCAAGTCCGGATCATGATAATAGTATGATTCTGGTTGCAACCCCTTGTCTTCTTCTACTATATTTTGTAATCAAAACACTCAGAGAGAGATTGTTTCCAGACCCTCAACTTCCACCAGGAAGTCTAGGATGGCCTCTCCTTGGTGAGACTTTACAGTTCTTGCCAACACGTCGCACACCAAAACCTGAGAGATTTGTAAGCGATAGAATGAAGAAATACAATCCTCAGGTTTTCAAGACTTCACTGTTTGGAGAAACAGTGGCTGTGTTTTGTGGACCAGCTGGGAACAAGTTCTTGTTCCACAATGAGAACAAGCTGGTCAATCTTTGGTGGCCAACTTCAGTGAAGAAGCTGATGAAATCAAGTTTGTCTAATGTAGTGGGCGACGACGCTAAGAGGATGAGGAAGATGCTCTTAACTTCCCTTGATCGAGATGCGCTCAAGAGGTACATAGACAGGATGGATTTGGTCGCACAAAACCATATTAGGACACACTGGGAAGGTATCAAGTCTGTTCTTTTTCTTATCTTGGTAAAGAAATCCTGTTTTTCCAATAAATTATTCCTGTTCAATTTAATGGGAGAAATGACTTGCTGCTGCACATGTTTTCTTTGAGATGCAATCCAAATAATAGAGACGATGATGTCTGATAATTAACATAGTATATTAATTTGAACTTCTATATGTATTTATATGTCTGATAATTAACATAGTATATTAATTTGCTACCTTCTATATATATTTATAATGCTATAATCATGTGTTAGAAGTTACCTTGTGCAGTCTTGAAATAAGTGGAAACAACACTAGAAAAACAAGAAACACAAGAATAGATAATTCTGACGGGGTTAAGCCTCTTTGTAGGCTTAACCCCGTCTTCATTGATTGCTGAATCCCCGCAAGACCATCCACATATTCCAATTATGGGATATCCGCATGCTACTGACTTATCAGGACCTCTTGGGTTTTCATGAAGTTTCAGCCATGTATGAATGGATGAATTTCTTCAGTCTTTTAACCAAGTTAAGAATTCTGGATTGTGTGATATTAATTGACAGTACTAATTCTTTTGACATGAAGGAAAAGAGGAGCTGAAACTGCATCCAACTATCAATTTATACACATTTGAGCTTTCTTGTCGCCTTTTTGCAAGCATTGATGACCCTACACACATTTCCAAGCTTGCACACCATTTTGACATCTTTCTCAAAGGAGTCATTCACTTTCCTATCTATGTACCTGGCACGCCATTTTACCGTGCTTCCAAAGCTGCTGATGCAATCAAGGAAGAGCTTCGGTTGATTGCTAGAAAAAGAAGAGAAGCTCTGGACAAAAAAATGGAATCGCACAGAAAAGATCTTCTGTCACATTTGCTTGTGACTACAGACGCAAGCGGAAAGTTACTATCCGAGTCCGAGATTGTTGACAACATGCTGATGTTGCTTTTTGCTAGTCATGACACTACTACATCAGCCATGACATGTGTAATGAAGTATCTTGCAGAATTGCCTGAAGTTTACCAAATGGTTTTGAGAGGTTAGTTGTTAACCTATCGTATAGCATATGATTGTTTTGCAGCAAATTGTATAACATGATTACGACAACTTAGAAACAACATAAGATTTATCTTGTTTCCACTTGATATACCCTACAGCCCTCACCCATTCTTGACCCGGGTTTACAGTATTTCTTGCAATAAATAATCTTTGATTGCCTTTGGTTAACAGAGCAGCTTGATATTGCTAAGTCTAAAGAAGCAGGAGAGTTGTTGAAATGGGAGGATATTCAGAGAATGAGATACTCATGGAGAGTGGTCTCCGAAGTTCTGAGGATGATACCGCCTATACGTGGTACTTTCAGAAAGGCATTGGTTGACTTCACCTATGCAGGTTATAAAATCCCAAAAGGATGGAAGGTAGGTACCATCACTCTCTCGTACTCTTAAACGAATTTTATGCAGCAATTGAACAAGCTGTCTAGTCTAAGTTTGGTTCAGATTGTTTAGATGAGAAAAATGATGTTTTGATGTGCGTGCCCTAGCTATACTGGAGTCCTGACTCGACAACTAAAGACCCAGCTTACTTCCCAAATCCAGAAGAGTTTGATCCTTCCAGGTATGAAGGAACGGGGCCTGCCCCGTATACCTTTGTTCCATTCGGAGGGGGTGGGAGGGTTTGCATAGGGAATGAATACTCTAGACCGCAAATACTCGTGTTCATGCATAACATCGTGAAGAGATTCAAATGGGATTTACTGATTCCTGATGAGAAAGTTGCATATGATCCCATGCCTGCACCCTCACATGGTCTTCCGATTCGTATTCAGCCGCATCAATCCACAGCCTAAGGTGTTGTTCCCTTTCATCTTGAGACAAATTTCGATATTGCCAATGATTTTGGCTGTAAAACAGTACTAGTTTCTCAGGCGTCCACAATCCAGTGTTGGTTACTTTGTTCTTGTATGTGCATATGCAAGTATTATTGATGTGGTTCTTCTATTCAGCGTGTAGAATCATCCTTCTATAGACATTTATTGAAAATCAATGGGATTTCCTTTCTTAATTATGAAAGTGATATAATATGAGAACAAAATGTGTTTTTTGTTAGGATTGTTCCCATTAATGTTCAATAATCATATAACATTTGTAGCCTACTCTAAAGAAGAGGGAAGCCATTATCAAAAAGCTATAATAGTAGGTGGATATTGTCAAACAAGTTTTACCAATCATTAACAAAATGGTGCAATCTGTATGCTGCTACCATTAGTGTCATAATTTATGGCTAAGTTGTCTCACTATTTTTGCCTATAAATACGCACCAAGAGAGCAGCATAATGAGAGAGAGTGTTAGGAGAATAAAAGAGAAGAGAAGAAGAGAGTGGTTGCAATGCATGACTGTTGCCATTGCAGCAACTGCAAGTGCAGCAATAGGAGCTGGGAGTTGACTTGAGTGGATGTGATTCTCCTCCTCCATGTATTTGTATTGTATCCTTTTTCTATTTCTAATAATATGACTTTCTCGTGGATAGAAGCGATTTGTCAAACCACTTTAAATACTGTGTCAGTGTACTTAGTCTTCAATAGATAACTATCAGAATATCATCAATTGGAATCCCTAACAATTGGTATCAAAGCATATAGTTTAAAGTGGTATTTGATTTTTGCTAAAAAATCAAAGAGCATATAGTTTAAAGTGGTATTTGATTTTAGCTAAAAAATCAAAGTTTTCAAAATTGTGTTTTGACCATACCACCGTGTAGAGAAGAAATAGATGAGCACACTTGTCATAACCTATTTTTGGATTATTCCCCAATTCACATTTTTTCTCTCTTAAAAAATAATAAAATACAAAAAAATAAAAAAAATATTATCAAAAAATATAAACAGTGAAAATATGATATCAGAGTGCCTTAAAAATGGTCAAAAATTAGTTAAGAAGGTTCAAAAATACAAAGATTAAAATTTGACAATATTTTATTGACTGATAAGAGTCGTGTTAATAAAGAAAATTCAATTTCAAGAAGAAAATCCAAAATCAGATGTTTATGGACTCATTTAAATTTTATTGAAGGTTTAATTGAATTTATAGAGGTTTTGATTAAAAGAAATATTAATTTTTGCATTAATTTGGACTTTAATTGGAAGAAATTAAAGTTCTAGGGTCAAATTATAATTTTTAAGAGTTAATTTGGGCAAACCAGGGGCTTAATGGCATAAATATTGAAGTTTGAAAGCCAATTAAGGACTTAATTGATGAAATCCGAAACAAAGGATCAAATTGGAAAAGACGTGTAAATAGAGGGGCTACAATTAAAACCGAATCAGGGGTCCAATTGAAAAAATTAAAAGATTATTAATCAATTAAGGGTCTAATTGCTTACATTCAAGATCAAGGACCAAAGTGAAAAGGACAACTAATTTCAGAGCCGTTGTTGGATTCTTGACACGGATATAATTGCATTGATTTTTATATTAAAAATTTCATTTAGGACTTGATCGAACAAATTACAAATTGAGGACCAATATGAACTTTAACATATTTTGTTGCCTTTCTTTTTAAAATGAAATGACACATTTTGTTCAAAACGGCGTTGTTTCATTCACTGTTCACAAAAAAAAAGGAAGCTTAGAACAATGTTGTTTTGAACGGCACCATATTTGTTCTTGATCCCTTGGATGCAAGAAGTAGGGGAAGATGAAGAAGATTTTTTTTCCTTGTTCCCCTGCCAACTCTCTCTCAAAAAGACACTGACAACCCACTTGCTTGCCACGTGGTGGGAGAATGGAGGGGACGTACCCATTAGGCGGTTCGGGGCGGTAGCACAGTGGCCACCCTATCCACCATCTTCCTCTCTTTTTGCTAATAAAAATAGGGGAAGGGAAGAGAGAGAGGAAAGAAAAAAAGAAGCGACACCATGAGAAAGAGAAAACAAAAGAGAGAAAGAGAAAAACAGAGATAGGAAAAAACAAGAGGAGGGAGAACAGTTTGAAGACAGAAAGGAAAAAGAGGAGAGAGAAAAAAAAAGAAAAAAAAGAGAGAGCAAAGAACAGGGGGGAAGAAGAAGAAGAAGAACCACCACCCCTACAGTCTCTACTGCCACCAGTGTTGCCGCCGCTCCAGGTAACTACGCCTCCCTCTTCCCTGTTTCTTATATCTCGCCTGCATTTGCATGCAGAACATGAATAAATCACATTCTGCAGCAAATACAGAGTTGGCTAGGTATTGTGCTCATGCACAGTAACCAGCTTAATTAGTGATGGGCTGGAAATCAGCCCAGCCCAAGAACCTTGGCTGAGTCCAACCCACAGTATATGGGTTGAGTTAAGCTCAACCTAGAATGGTTGAGCCAGGTCTGACCCTGTTTTTTTTAAAGAAAAACTTAAAAATATTTTTGGGAATTTTACAATTTTTTCCCGTAATTTTTATGTCATTTTAATTAATATCAAGCAATATTTTTATGTTATAAAAATACAAATCAAGTATTCAAATACCCAGTTTTTGTTAAAAATTCCAAAAAAAATAGAAAAAATAAAAAATATTTTTGTGCATACAGCCAAGTGTCTCAAAGCTAAAATTTCATATTGTTTTTCATACACCCATTTAAAAAAATAAAAAACAATGTCTTAACATTCATTTTGGCTTTAATAATCAGTTTATTAAGGTCAAGAGAACATTGACCAAAATGTTATTATTTGTCTCTTAGTATCCGGGGTATGACATTACACATAATATGTATTCTGAATATTTAATTTTTTTTTTTGAAATAATAGAATGATTAGGTTTTACCTCATTAATATAATAACCATCTTATTAAGGAGGGTTTGTTTTGAACCTTAAACAAACCAACAATTATAAACCACAACAGAACTTTAGATTTTAACAGACAACAAAACAATATAGTCTAACTCATGTAGGTATCGTAATTATAACAGACAACAAAACAATATAGTCTAACTTATGTAGGTATCGTAATTAGGGTGCTAATATCTTTTCTTTACACAACCAGTATCTATATCTGATCTATAAGACTAGGTAGGGTTCCTAGTTGTTGTTACTCAATTTTGAACCCCACATGCTAAATACGGTGTATATCTTTTTTGAACTGAGTGTAGGGGTTTAGCTCACATTCACTAGAAGATTGAAAAAAGTTGAGAAAGAATTTTTTTTTTTGAAACCTTGTTTGAGCAGTGTTTTTTTATCCTTTTCTTTTGCTACCAAAATCGTCAGGTATTTTTAAGTTGATCAGGAGTCTTTATAATTTTAATTCGTTCCTTCTTTATCTGGTCTTTGAGGTTGGATAAATCCATCAGAATTTGCACTAAAAAAAGGGTTCTACTGCTGTTGCAAATGTTTTGTTCCAACTTAGGCTCTGATTTTGACTCGGTTTCGTAAGATATCTGACCATCCTAGTTATATTCTATCACTCATGACATGTTGAAAAATTGACCTACACCTTTATTAGGTCCTAGGGATCATTATTCTTAGGGCAGATTTTCGGTCAGATTTGGATGCTCAGCATTGTCACATCAAAAACCTTCTTTACCAACTAGATTACTGCTAGATTCTATTCTCTAAAATAATTTTATCTCACTTCATCTCATTCATCAAAGTTGTATTTTTGGACATATAGATAATTTTGGGCTTTCGAATCGCTTGATTTCGATATCAGAAGCTCAAGATATTCCCGTTTGAATATCTAACAAGAAGTTAGAGAATTCTATCACGAGAAGGATACTGACCCGAGTTTGCACTAAAAAAACTCTATTTCCATCATAAATTTTATAATTTTTGTTCTTAGTTCATACTCTTAGTCATATTGGGACGCTTGACATTGTCAGTTTCTAAATTAGACTTAGAGATTCTTTTTGACCAACTACATTACTGCTAGATTTTGTTATTTAAAACGATTTTATCTCACTTTGACTCCTTCATCAAAGTTGTAGTATCAAATACATAGATGAATTTGGGCTTTTAAATTGCTTAATTTTGATATCAGAAGCTCAATATATTTCTATTTGAAATCTAGCGTGAAAACATAGAATCCTGCGCAAGAAGGTTTCCAACCGAGTTTGGTTGCAATTCTGTTATTCAAAAAGAATTTATCTCACTTTGAATCCTCATCAAAGTTGTAGTCCGGGACATATAAATAAATTTAGGCTTTTAAATGGCTTAGTTTTGATATCAGAAGCTCAAGATATTCATGTTTGAAATCTAGTGTGAAAGCAGGGATTCCTGCTGCGAGAAAGATTTTTTACCGAGTTTGTAGGAACACAATTGCAAGATGCTTAAAGATTGAAGACCAATTATAGGCCAATTTGAATCCCTTATAGACCAAGGACCAAATGGAAAAAAAATACTAAAATAAGAAGGATGGTTGATGATAAAAAAAATAGAAAGGAATTCAGCTGAAGGAAGACATTGAAGAAAACATGTTTACCTGCACAGCTAGCCATTTTCTTTTTTTCCTTTTTATCTCAAATTTCTTGTTTGGTTTCCATATTTCTCTCACTTGAATGGAGAGCTGCAAACCACGTTTTTATTGCCTTATTTCAAAGGGAGCAGCTGACCCTATGGAAGGAAAGAAAAGAGTCACACCATCCTCTAAAATTGGAAAAAAAAATCAGACGTGAGCACAAAATCAAAATTAGAATATTGCAGTTTTCTTTTTGCTTTTTTTACTACAAATCAGTAGGGATTTGCATCCTAGAATTAATGTATTAAATATTTCCTAAATAGAGATATGTAGACTATATATAAGCCCCTCTAATGACCTAGAAAACGAGGAGAAAAACAGAGAGAGAAGAGCAAGAAAAACAGCATAAAAAAGAAAAGAAAAAACAAAAAAAGAGTAAGTAGAGGAACATAAAAAGAAAGACAAAAATCACAAGAGAGAACAGGGAAGAAGAAAGTGCAGGAACCAGTAGAGAGAGTGACGAAGACATAGATGAAAGAAAAAGCAAGAAACTGACACGAATACACAAATAAAGGAAAAGGTTTGAAACAGAGGAACACAGACCAAGCAACCATCACACT